TCCTTCACATTGCGTGGGGGCTCCATGTTGATGATGGTCTGGATCTTCTCGGGATTGGCCTCAATACCCCTTCGGCTCACCATGTAGCCTAAGAATTTGCCCCCTTGGACGCCGAAGGTGCACTTCTTCGGGTTAAGCCGAAGGTTGAACTTCTGCATGATGGAGAAGATTTCCCGGAGGTCGTCGGCATGGCTGGAAGATTGCTTGCTTTTGACGATCATGTCGTCAACATAGGCCTCCATGGTGCGCCCTAGGATGGCTTGAAAGACTCGGGCCACCATCCGGGTGTAAGTGGCCCCTGAGTTCTTTAGGCCGAAGGCCATTACTAGGTAGCAGAAGATGCCCTCGGGAGTCATGAAGGCTGTCTTTTCGGCGTCTTCCTCATGCATGAAGATCTGATGATACCCGCGGAATGCGTCGAGGAATGACATGATCTCACACCCCGCAGTTTCATCTACAAGTTGATCGATATTGGGCAAAGGAAAAGGGTCCATAGGGCACGCCTTGTTGAGATCGGTGTAGTCCACGCACATGCGGAAGGTAGGAGGCTTCTGTGCGAGGACTACGTTTGCCAGCCATGAGGGATATTTCACCTCCTTGATGTGCTTAATAGAGAGGAGCATGGCGACCTCCTTCTTCACAAATTCCCTCCTTTCGGCGGAGAGGGGTCTTCTTCGTTGCTGTACTGCTTTTGCCGAGGGTCCACCGAGAGGCGGTGGGTGATGACCCTTCGGCTTATTCCCGGCATGTCCTCCGGCCCCCATGCAAAGACAGTGGAGTAGGCGCGGAGGGCGTCGGTGATACCGGTCTTCAGATCTTCAGGGAGCTGGGCTCCAATCTTCACGACTCTCTCCGGCCTGGCCGGATCGAGCGCAAAGTCTTCTACGTCCTCGGCTGGTTCAGCCCTCGGCCTCTTTTCTTCTTCGTCGATGGTTCCGGTGATGGTGTCAACACGGAACTCCGTCTTACTTACTTTCTTCGTGACTTGAAGATAGCAAGCGCGGGCAATTTTCTGATTCCCCCGGGAGTAGCCAATGCCCCCCTCGGCGGGGAACTTGAGGCAGAGGTGCCTCATGGAGATGACGGCCTCGAGGTCCTCGAGGGCTGACCGGCCGAGGATGATGTTGTGGGCGCAGTCGATGTTGACGACGACGAACTCCACTTCGAGCTGGGCTCTATGGAGCCCGTCGCCGAAGATTACCAGGAGGGTTATTACCCCCTCAGAATCAATAGTATCGCCGGTGAAGCCGGCAAGAGGGGTCTTAATGGGCCGAAGGGTCCCCCTCTCCAGATGCAGCTCTCTAAAGGTGCTGAGGTACATTACATTGACGGAGCTGCCCGTGTCAATGTAAGTTCGGTGAATGATGGTGTCGTTTATTTCAGTCCGAATCACCAAGGCATCCCTGTGAGGAGAAGGAGTAGGAGGGAGATCTGCGTTGGTGAAGGTGATGGGTTCCTCCCTCAGCCGCTTTACCGGGGGCATATGAGTGACTTCCCCCACGTAAAGCGATTGAGCCCACTTTTTCCGCTGGCTGGTGGAGTCGCCCCCTGTATTGCCACCGGTGATCATGAGGATGTGGCGTTTTTTCTCCTGGTTGTGGGGGTACTCCTCCTCTTCCTCCTCCAAGTTTCCGATCTCCCTCTTCTTGCCGAGGGGGATGGTGTTCGGGTTCACCCAAGCGTTCACCTTCGTGTGGTGCCCTCGGGGAGGTCCCTGATGAGAAGGTCCCTCCTGCCGAGGGCTCTGGATAAACTGGGACAGATGGCCCGCTTGTATCAATCTCTCGATGGCCGCCTTTAGCTGATGGCAGTCATCGGTTCTGTGCCCCTGATGCCGATGGAAGCGACAGTAGGGGAACTGAGGGTTGATAACATGTACCTCCGGGGGTGCGCGAGAATTGCGCTCAATGAGGCCCCTCTCCTCGGCAAAATCAAGGATGATGCTGACGGGGTGCGTCAATGGTGTCCGGGGGCGGTCCAGGAGAATGGGTTGTGCCCAAGTCTTAGGGCTGCTCTTATAACCTCCCCCGGGCTTAGCCTGGCCTTGCCGAGGGCGGTCATCAGAGGGTCCTGAAGACTTGGGGTGATTTGGAGGAGCCCCCGGCCCTCGGTTGTTCTTGTTGTCAGCCTTCGGGGGCTGCTGATCTGGATGCTGGTGGTATTTCTCCACCTCCTCGGCCTCCGCATATCGGTCCCCCCGCTGCAGGGCCCTTATGTAGTCGCGGGGGGGGGGGGGGGGGGTCAATGATGAGGCTCCTTGAGAAGTTGCCGGTGCGGAGGACGGTTTGTAGGAGGGCCAGGAGAGTCCCGTCGTCAGCACCGTCGACTTTGTCGGCTTCCGTTCTCCAGCGCTCCAGGAAGTCCCGAAGGGTCTCATCCCTCCTCTGGCATATGGTTAGGAGGTGAGAGAAGTGCTTCCTCGTGCGACGCCTCCCGACAAATTGCGTCAAGAATCGCTGGGCGAGTTCTTGCCACGAATCAATGCAGCCTTCGGGCAACCGGTTGAACCATTCGTATGCCGGCCCCTCTAAGGTGGAGAGGAACCAACGACACAAATATTCGTCCGACGCCCCTACCATCATCACGCTGTTCTGATATTTGCTGTAGTGTTCCTGGGGGTCCGTCTTCCCGCTGTAAGGCTGTATGTGCTGCCCTCGGTATTTCTCCGGGATCCGGGCCGCCAATACCCTTGGGGTAAATGGCGTCCGGGTCCGGAGCTGGATGACGGGTTCCCCGGAGCCCTCGGCTACCTTCTTCTGCAATTCCTCCATTTTGGCCATCATTGCCTCGTATTTGAGGTCTGAATGAGGGGTGGAGGTGGTGGCGTGAGCTTTGTTGGCCTCCATTTCATCAAGCCGGCGTTGGAGGGCCGCAATAATTTCGTCCCGGGGGTCCTTCGGGAGGGTCTCCGCCCCCTGCGAACGAACCCGGGCCGAGTGGGCCTGGTTGATTTGGTGGCGAGCATCGTCGGCATGAAGGGGTGCCTTGCCTTTGCCCCGAGGGGGACGCTCCTCGTCTGCCCTCGAGACAGACCCTCCGCTTTCCTGGGGCCTTTGGAGTGCTTTTCCTCCGAGGCGGTCTTGGACCCCTCGGCGGTCTTGCCCCCCTCCGAGCCGGTTGAGGGCGGAAGTGCGGGGCCTTTCTCTGTTGTCATTGTGGCGGTCCCGGGACTGAACTTCCTGGGAGGCCGTATCTTGGGCCACTACCCCTTCGTCATTCCTAACCCGAGGGATGGGATTTCCGAAGGGGTGTGGCAGAGGGGGAAGTATGATGTTCTCCCCAACCTGTGGTTGAGCCGGAGCCAGGGTGCCGAAGGCACCTGGGTTCTGAGTGAGCGTTTGGATGAAGGCGGAGAGCGTCGAATGAACGTCGATGGTGAGGACCGGAGGGCTGACTTGGTCATCACTCCGGTTTTTCTTCTTGGCCTCGATGCCGAGGCGGGCATCGGGGGCATTTTGCTGGATCTGAAGGCGTAGGTTGACAGCCGCCTGTTCCAACCCAGCGATGACACCGCCCTCGGGAGCCCTGTGAGAGGCTTCGGGGGCGTTGACGTCGCCGAGGGCCAGGTTCTTGTCTTCTACGTTTTTGGAGTTGGCACGTGTTGTTCTCACCATTTTGGTAGAGGGCTAGTGTTTGGCGAAGGGGGAGGGTTTCTTACTTGATTGTTCGAACTCTCAACGAGAGCACCAAATGATGGATAGTGTACCCGGGGGGTAGCTTATCCGAGGGTTTACTGCGGGGAGTAGCTTAGAGAGAAGTCAGAGCAAGTAAGAGAGAGAAAGTATATTGAGTTGAGGCGTTAAAGCGTTTCTGACCCTTTTACAAATGGGGAAAAGGGGTGCTATTTATAGTAGCAATAAATGCCGGACAGGGACACGTGTCAAGCGCTCATTGGCTGAGAGGTCATCTCAACTGGTTGGCGCTGGCAGCCGCATGTGGCCGCATTTAATGCGGCTGTTGGATGGGACGTTTGTACAGGATACGGTGATCTGTACGCATGTGGCGCGGATATTATGTCGGGAGAGGTGCCCTCGGGTGCAGAGGACTAGCCGAGGGCTCTGAGTACCGGGGACCCCCTGGGTGCCGAGGGCTCCAGGTGCCGAGGGCCACTGTTTTCTGCCGTTTTTCTCCGAGTTTCTTAGTTTGCTTGAAAACCCATTCTGTGAGAGATTTGAGCCTTCGGCCAGGGGGCCGACGGCTCCCCAGTGTGCGCTGTGGGCTGCTAAGTGCTTGGGGCGCCGTAATTCGGGGCCTGCTGTGCTTCCCGGGCCGGTTGGGCCTTTATTGGTGTAGTAGGAGTCTGTGGGCCGGGGGTTCCCGGGCCATATACTCCATCATTACCCTTTCTTGAATGACCCCATATCTATTCTCTTTTAGGTAGTTTAGGAAAGTCAACGATACTTTTACTAGCTAAAATGTGTGAGAGATAAAACAAAAATGATGTTTGTACACACTCTTATACACACTTTTGTACACACCTATGTCTGTGAAAGCTTTTTTTTGTGTGTGAACATCGATTCACAGACAATGTTTTGCACAAACAAATTATTGTCTGTGAACCGGATTCACAGACAAAAAAAAAAGCTTCACAAACATGGTGTGTATAAGGTGTGTACAAGGGTGTGTATATCAAGAATGGTTGGAGATAAAATTGTGTTCCAAAAGGTTGAATCTCCCACATTAAAGATGTTTTCTTTTGGACTGTTTTCAGTATATACCAGAGCAGACTAAATCAGATCAGACCAGATCAGATCAGACTTCCGTAATTATAAATTACTACCTCTGTCCCTCTTATATTGGGTCGGAAGAGAGTGACACGATTATTAAGAAAAGTGGGGTTGTGTGATTGATATTAATTGATAAAGTAAGAATAAAATAAGAATGATTTAAAACCACACAAACTTTAACAAATATGGTATGAGACAATTTTAGTGGGACTTCCCTAAAAGTTAAAACGGGACGATATAAGAGGGAGGGAGGGAGTACAAGAAGACATTTAACAGGACCAGCTCCCTCACATTTTGGTCCAAAACAAAACTTCCTCCTCCTCCACCTTCCGACCCCACAAGACGATTGTAAGTAAAGCGTGAGAGCCATTACCCTGAGGCCGGAAGCACTCCGGCTCCAGGCTCCCGCCTTCCCCTTTTTCAATCTGCGGCGACCTTCCAGAACTCCAAATAGCTTCTCTCTTGGCCCAACAAAAGATTTTCTTTCAGATACTATTTTTAAAAGTATATATTGTTTCGGAGGTATTTAGGGTGCAAATATGGAGCAGAGATTGGCGAATGCATGGCGCATGACTTTGAACGAGAAGAGGTTCATTGAAACTGCATTGCTTTCTGACCTCAGAGTCGATGGCCGGCTCCCTTTCGATTACCGGAAACTAACTGTCAAGCTTGGCAGGTAAGAGTGTTCTTTCTTCAATTTCAATTTGGATTTTTTTCCCAGTATGTATGTATATGTTACAGTTGCCTGTTAGCTCGTGGTTTACTGTACTTTGCTGGTATTGCTTAGTGGCGCCACTTAAATGTATTAGGAACGTCTATTAATTTGCCAACACCAAATTTACCAAGCTTAAACTGAGTAGTGCTGCAGTGGTTTCTGAAAGACTGCCACATGATGTAGGTCGCCAGTTTACAGTTTATACACATAAACGTTTCTATTTCCAAGTGTATGGTTTCAGAAATAGAAGTATAGCCATATGCCCACATCTCATCTTTTTTGCATCTAGTAAGTCATCACACGAGCCTGAGTTTTTTTTAAGGAAATGAAAAGTTTTTAGTACTCAGCAGGGAGATGAATGTAATTTTCATAGCACCTCAATGATGTGTTCTCTCGTGCTACAGCCTACAATGTGGTTTTTTACTACCAACTTTACAACTTAGCAAGGAGTGGTGAAGAGGTGGGTCCAAAGTGATTTTACATTTGTGTAGGCGCCAGTAGGAGATAACTTTAAGCATTTGGATTGAAAAATAAAATCACAAATGTACTGTGTAGGTAGTGAAAGTGTGAAAATTTTAGCCACTGTTTGTCAACTAGTTGGGTTAAGTTTTTTTGCTTTTCCCCTATAGCAGTCTATGGTAGGGTTGTATGACAATGCTAGGTCAAGCACATTCTCAAGAGAGATCTGCTTGTTCAGATAAGTTGGTATATATTTTCAAAATGGCAACTCTGTTTTTGCATATAATTTAAACTACTTGAGAAGTTAAAAGAATGTATATTCTCAGGGATTTAAAGAAAATGGCTCAGAGATGAAACTTTGATTGTATTAGTTTATTTATGTGATTAGTATGCATTTGATGTCATCTCCTTTCCTTTTTACAATTAAAATGAAATCTTGTAGTTTGTGACTAAGAAGATATATACTGCTCTATGTGACTTGTATATTAGCCTCTGGATACTTCAATATATACTATAAATCTAATGTGCTTTTTATGCGCTTCATATTTTCTCAACATATGAGATCTATGTTTCTTCTATTTCATGATTAAAGTTCAAGCCTTTAGATTGTTATGAATGTGCAGAGAAGATGGTTCATCAGAGGTGCTGCTAGGGAAAACTCATGTTATGGGTTTTGTGACTTCGCAACTAGGGAAACCTTATAGAGACCGGCCTAATGAGGGGAGCCTTGCAATCTATACTGAGTTTTCTCCAATGGCTGATCCTTCATTTGAGGCAGGTCGCCCTGGAGAGTCTGCTGTTGAGTTGGGACGGATAATTGATCGTGGTCTAAGGTCTTCATTCAAATTTTCTTTCTTAGAAGTGAAATCTTAGCATTATACCTCAAGCAATCTTTGGACCATATTTTAAAGCAGTTCTATGATTACATATTTTTTAGAATTATGAGACTGAACTATAGTAGGATAAAGGTTTGTGAGAGAACAAGGTTTGGAGGTCTTTTTATCTTCTCTTTCCTACTTTTTCACTCTCCTATTTTTTCTATACTATTCATCAATGTTCTAAAATTCGCTAGGCGCTAGTCGGGCGGTCAAGCACTGCCTAGCGCCTAGGCGGACTAGGCGCCGATTAGTCGCCGACTAGGCGGCCAACTCGGTTTCAACATAGTACCAAAAAATATAAATACTCTTGGCAAAAAATACTACCATAAACAAATAAAGTTTAAGTTTTAAACATGATAAATATATTGCATATTACCTAGTATAATAATTAATAAGTTAGGACTGCTAGGTTTACAATATTTAAAACATCACAATGAGCTTACAAGGTTTTAAATCAACTGCTAGAGTATTATAAAAGATAATAGTACTTAAATGTAAATACACCATGATCACAAGAGGTTATTGAGATAGCAGGACATATAAGAACTTTATTTTTGTATGCTCTATGCCTTTATACTAACTTGAGTGCAGTAGAAACCAAGGCAGTTAACAACTATAGACAAAATAGTACAAACTACGAAGTATAATGTAATGTTTTAGGTCAACTCCCAAGCAACACTATGGCATTTGGATCATTTATAAACAAAATCAGGGGATGTAGAAATCATTTTTATTTGGGATCATTTTTGTTGGCATGCAGCTATAGTTGTACCATACATCCACAAGGTCAACTGTTGATTTCCATCACCCCCAGTTAGTCTGTTATAGTACAAAAAAGTAGCTAGCAGCATTTCCCAATGTAAGGCTTTCAGCCAATGTGTTATTCCCACAGCAGATGAGGCAAACATTTTTAAGGCCTTTATTCCAATGTGTTCTTAAGTGCCCGTGTACTGAACATGGTTCTACTTTGTGCAGACAATCATTCTTAAATCACAAAGCATAGAAACAAAAATTCTTCACTGGCTCTCATCTAAAATACCAACAAGACATTTCTCCAATAAAAATTCCGCATTAAACCAGGCATGGTATTTATCTAAAAGTTGTACTAAGGATCAAAGAGACTGTGAGTAATTCTCCCATTATCAGAGAGCATGGAATATTAATGTGAATATTTGCAATTTATACATACCTCTACTTGGCATTCACATACCCCACTATTACAATCAATGAAGTACTTATATAGGTTCAGAAGCTTAGTAGTCCATTTCCCTTTTCCAATAGATTACTTTCAGAAAAAATGGAAGGCATTTAATAAGATAGCTATAAGCTTTAAGTGAGTACAAGGCTCAATCCAAACTTTAAAGTTTATGCTAACCAAATATCACAAATCATCTCAAAGTGAAGGTGTGACTAAATCATGTGTTTTTTAAGCTTACAAGTCCATTTTCAAGTGAAGTAGAAACCAAGGCAGTCAACAACTACAGACTAGTAAATAGTACTACCCCGTCCCAAAATAGTACTACAGTAAATGCACACTTTGGTCTATATTAGAAAATCTCAAAATCCTAAAGCAAATTTGGAAGAAGTGAAGCCTTTTTTAAAAAATCTCAAAATCTCAAAATCCTAAAACAACAAGGAAAGCAACTCTAACCATTAAGCTCTTTTTTCTTTCTGAGGTAAAATCCAAAAATGAACCAAGGTAATCTCCACATTTGGGCTAAAAGGAACAAAAAATGAATGCAGGGCTCTTTACCAGTTTATTGATGTCAAGTCTCAAGAATAAAAGACTGTTAATACAGCATACTCATAGCAAGCATAGGAAATGTTTTGAATACCAGAATAAGAAAATGTCTTTTTCTTTGTGATACCAATGCTAATGATAGCAATACAAATTGATTGGTTGGGACTTCACTGGAAATTCAAATTAATAAAAACAAACCAAAAGGACTAGGGAATAAGTGAATAACACAACTGAAAAACAAAGTAATTGAAATAAATTACCAGTTAAAGTTTTCATTTATTCTTTGAGGAATTTTATCAAGCAGCGTAGCTTCATTCCAAATTCCTATCAATATTAGGCAATAATTTTTTCAATCTACATATAAACTATCTCTTAAGTATATGTCTCAGGAAAAATCGAGATATTCTCAAACTATCTTAAAAACAACCTTACAAGTAAGAGAAGTAACTATAATAATATAATGAAAATATCTTTACCTGGATGTTGGACGCTGGAGAGTCTTGCTGGACACTGGAGAGTGTTGCTGGACACTAGAGAGTGCAGAAGATGATTCAATACTCAACAAAGAAGGGAATCGTGAAATGGAAGAGAAGAAGACCCATCACCCGGCCGCAGTTCCATTGAAGAGAATGTCGGATTAGGTCTGGAAGTAAAGAAACGCAGCTATAGGAGTCGTCCTTGTCAAGGGCGGTAAAAATGTCAAAAAAATGCAGCTATTTTTAAAAATGTCTGGGGCGACTAATATTGATCCTAGGCGAGCGTTTTTCCGGCAATTACTCGGTCTGGGCAGCCGATTAATCGGCAGAGCGAGTTTATGAGCGAAAACAAGATAATCTCTACGGCAGGAAGCCGCCTAGCGAATTTCATGTGCCTAGGCGGGCGATTTATCCGAGTTTTAGAACCATGCTATTCATTACCCCTACTATTTCCCCCTTTAATATTGTGCTAAGACCTAATGTAGTGATCTTTTAAATATGGAGGGAGTATGTTTTTAGGTTTTTTATATACTAGTCTACTAGAAGGGGAGCCTTGGCCTTTGGCGCACCAGTTATTGTGTTGTTGTGTGACAAGGGAAGGTTTCCATTTATACACCCTTGTGGTGGGACTCTTCCCCGGACCCTCGCCTTGCAGGAGTGCAGATGTGCACCTGGCTGCCCCTTTAGGTTCTTATGTACTAATGTACTACCTCCATTATTAACCGCAACATGTTGAATTTTGCACTACTCACAAACTCTACTTTGACTATATTTTATTGGTTAATGTCCAAACATAAAAAAAAAATAAGTGGTCACATTGTAAACTTTTAAATACATTTTTATATTTTTTATTAATAGTCATTTAAATGTAATAATAGTCAAAGTCGTGCCATGGCAAGCGTGAAAGTCAAAGTGTTGCAACTAAAACAGAACGGAGGAAGTATATTTTTTGTTTTTCATCCTGGCTATTAATATTTTGTTCAGCCTCCCATTGAAGCTGTTTTTATGGAAGAACTACAAATGACCATCTGACTAAATATTATTCCTAATGAAGGTTGATGGATAGTGAGAAGGACTCATCATCATCATTACCCCAGTGCCGCAAAGGTTCCCACGTACGGTGGGGTAACGGGGGGTTGGATGTACGCAGGCATTACCCCTGTACTAAAGCATAGAGAGATTGTTTCCGGATGACCTATAGTGAAAATCGCATAAAAAATTGCATGGAGTGACCGTTGCTTCATAACAAAGAAACACAGACAGTTTAGTGAGCCATTTTGCATTATTCCATCATATTAGCAAGCCAAAAAATAGTGAGTCTTTGGCTCCATTGCAAATGATGGAAAAGGACGGAGAGAGGGACTGAAAAGAATAAAATCCTAAATTGCATTGATGAAAAAGAATTTGACAGGTGCCTAAAATAGACACACTATATTTTGTAGGGAAAAAACATATTTATGCCTTTTTTACTCAAAATCTGGTACAATAAACTGTTGAACTTATTTCTTGTTGTTTGAGTTTAATCGAGAACCATAGGGTTTTCAATAATTTAAACTGAAAGAGGAATTCGTATTGGTTAAGAATTGATAAGGTGAAGCATAATGTGGAAAACTGTAATTGTAGGGAAAGTAGAGCTGTGGACACTGAATCTCTCTGTGTTGTAGCAGGCAAGTGGGTGTGGTCTATCCGTATTGATCTCCAGATTTTAGACAACGGAGGGTGAGTTATTATGTCCATCACATGTTGCTTTACAAGTCATTTGCTATAAGAAATATGATGCTCAGACTTAACATCTTGGGAACTGACGATTACTTTTCCATCTCCGTGAGATTAGGAACCTTATTGATGCTGCCAACATTGCAGCCTTAGCTTCCCTCTCAACATTCCGGAGGCCTGATTGCACCGTTGAAGGAGAAGATGGACAGGAAATTACTTTGCACCCACCTGAGGTCTGCTGGATTGCTATGCATCTTGATTCTCTCAAGCAAATTGCTTTGATATTTATTTTGGCTGAAGTTTGTGACTTCAACTTAATCACAGTTCAAAGTAAAAGATATGTACAACTCGTTTTTTAATGCTTTTTTTTCCGTTCAGTTTTCTTTCCAAAGTCTGAAGCATAAAACATGTCTGGTAGATCTGGTTTAGATGTATAATAATTTATACAATTAATTTATTATTTTGTAGAAGTTTTAAATGTTTATAAACCGTGTCAGGCTGTCAGTGTCAGCATTAGAAACACGTTCTTTAATCTAATAAAATCAAGTAAATGTGTTTCCAGTCACAACCATAATAACAACTTCCAAGCCGTATTACCAAAAGAGTCTGGGTCACCTAACATGAATCAACATATGATATCGGTGTTAAAAACATTAGATAGAGAAAGAGGGAGAAGTGATATAAGATCAATCAAGGACATGTGTTGTGGGTCTTAACTCTTGAATTAACTGTGTGCTGCATTTTGACAGGTCAGGGAACCACTTCCCTTGATCATTCATCATATGCCTATAGCAGTGACCTTTGGATTTATTGGAAACGAGAACACAGTGGTAAGCAAAGTATAAAGGCCTTGCACATATTTGCATAATGGAGTGCCTTTTTCAGAGGCATTGACCCAATCTATTTATACTTACAATTGTATGTTTTTCATGCTTAGGTTGTAGATCCAACTCACTTTGAAGAGACTGTAATGGGAGGAAGAATGACAGCGACTGTTAATGCAAACGGTGATGTCTGTGCCATTCAAAAGGCGGGAGGAGATGGTGTCATGCAGAGTGTTATAATGCAGTGTCTTCGCATTGCTTCAGTGAAGGCTGGCGATATAACAAGCAAGATAAAGAATTCTGTGAGTGCTAATCGTGACATTATATGTTTTGCTTCCATTATGCTATTATTTAGTGCTTGATTACTGGAGAGTTGTTTTAATTTTAAATGACCCCTTGATAAACTTTTTAAGCATCAAGGAAAACTTATATCCCATTCCTCCCAAAATAAGAGTCATGTTTGGGCTAGGTACAATTTTTTTGGTCAACTTTATCAATGTATAAGCTTTTACAAATTATGAACTATCTCTTATACTCCTAAAACTTATTCCAATACTGTAGAGTATTTGACTAAAACCACTTGCCACCTGCCTTTGTATAAATTCTATTTAACATAGAAGTATGATTTCTACGAACGGACTATTCTTTTGGGACAAAAGGAAATCTTGAAACATGACTTTTTGTGGCGGAAGGAGTAACAGAGATATACTTTCTGTTTATCATGATGTGTTTAGTTGATATGGATGGTCCTTAGAGCTTTATACCTGATCTTTGAAGGGTTGTTTGGGAATTAACACTTCACATTTCATTCATTGCTATGAAACCCCGAGTGAGTTTCCCTTTTTGGCATGAAGGACTAAAGCTCTTAATGTGCAGGTTGAATTGTACTGCGAAGAAAGAGCTCTTAGGAAGATCAAAACACACACACATGCTACTACAGCAATTGACATTCCTGACTCAGGTAATGGGGAAGTCAGTGATCTGTCAATGCAGAATATGGATATACAGAGAGTCAAATTGGAGGACCTCTGTGTCAGTCATAGTGATGACATGGATGTTGAAACACAAATTTCTAAGCCAAATAGAAATAAAGGGGAAGTTAACAAATTTCAGAATTTTTCTGGCAGGCCCTCAAGTTGGTAGGTGTTTTTTTATATATAATTATTATGCTTTTTGAGTAAAAAATAATTATATGCATGTGCTTTGTGCTGCATAGGTGTTTTGTCACTATGTCAGTCTAAGGTTATATTCCCTTTTATTTTTAGGAGGAAAAAAGGATGTATGTCATGAATTAATTACTCTTACAGGAGGGTAGTAATATGAACTAGTAATTTGGAAACACTAGGGAAGGTAAAAAATGTGAACAAAAATTGTTTTTTTTGTGTTCTCTCTTTTGCCTTCCTCCTCGTTCAGGTAGATATAGACTCATAGCCTTGCTGGTAGGGACAAGGTCATTGTTGTTAATGGTGGCTTGGAAACCACAGTCTACAGCTTCCTTATGGCTAAAACCGTATTTACATCTTCTGAATTGAACAAACAGAAAATTCCAAGTTCAACACATTCGAAGTGTGGGTTGGACTTTTGATAGGAATCTGGCTTAGTAGGCTAATAATAAGAAATAATAATAATAGTAAGTGTATATGTAGTAGTATAAATAGAAGAGGAGGGGAGGAAAATAGGCAGGCTGTTATTGAATTAGAAAATAGATCTTTGGAGAGCTCTGGCACTCTCGAATTTGCCCAGAACTATTACTTTACATTTCCTTCTGTTAATAAACATTCAGTTTTCTTGATTGATCTGTTCCATTCTTGATTGTCTTGTTAATTCAAGAATCTGGAAATTGCCTGGTATCTATCATTGGTATCAGAGCAACGATTCTGGTGATCGGTATCACTCTAGTAGCATCAGATTTTTTTTCGTTCGGAACTGTGAATGGTTCGAACGAGAGCCAAAATGGAGAATCTAAGGGAAGAAATGGAGCATAGCAGGATCGCAACTGAGGAAACGTTGCTACAGATGAAAATGATGATGGAAAAAATGGCAGTAAAGATGGATGCGATGAGCGATGAACTTCGCTAGAGAGGAAAACCGCGATCCCATCCTCGTCATCATACGTGACCTTCAACAACATCGCAGAAGTCTTCGCCAACAACATCCTTCAGTTCGCATATGCGAACTATTTCTCCCAGATTGTCGCGAACTGCGCAGGTTTCATCTAAATCGCGAGAAACTCCTTCCAGTTCTCAGGTGTCTTCTCTCAGTTCGCATCGTATGTCCCAAGTAGATGGTCCCAGTTCACAATCGCACATGGAGAATAACCTGGAAAAGGTTGAACAAAATAAAAAACCCTTCGATGAATGGGCTGCGGAGATGTGGAGTAGAATAAACAAGACCGGTCATCAACCTCGCAGGCGAACAACATCACTCAGTTCACAGGCTTCATTATCGGCTTCCAGTTCTAAGGCTTTGTCGCGAACTGTTTTTCACAGTTCATCATCGCAAGCCATTTCTCACATTAGTCCGCAGATGTCATTGCCATCACAAACAACTTCTACCAGTGTGCAGGTATCCTGGCCAAGATCTTCTCCCAGTTCACAGATGCGAACCAGTTCTCTGTTCACAGGCTTCCTTATCGCAGTCACGAACTATTTCAGTCCAATCAGCATCTCCTAATGCACTTATGCACTAGTCTCAACGTACCTAAAGGAATCAGCCGTTTCAGAAGCCATAACTCCAGGCGCAAAAGGAAAAAGGATCTTCAGGGGGCCCACAGCTGGAAACAAACGTTGAGTCAAAGCCGTCTGCACCTTCAGTTCAACAATTGGAGACGAAAGAGGAAATTCTGAAAGGAGCAGAAAATATTGATTCATCAAATAACTTAGAAGTTCGAAGGAAATACATGTCAGATGCTACAGTTTCAAAGAGTGAAGCAACTGAAACCCAAGGGCTTGGGTTATATCCTGAAGCAAGAGCTATTAGCAAATGGAAGATTGAGCAGTTGGTGATTGGTAAAGCTCAGTTCCAATACGTTCGGGAAACCAATACGTTCAAGCTTATTCTGCCTGAAGTTCATCAGGATCCGGTCCCTGAAGATCGTTTTGTTGCTGCAAGAGCTATTGGCTCTCTTATAGGGGATACGAAAGAAGAAAACTTCCCAGACTTGGGACTTTGGCGGTTAGAGAATCTGAAATCGCATGGCAGCACTGTTGTGCACAATTTCTGTTGGTTGTTGAAGTTTAACAGTACAAATCCTCATCCTCCTCATCATCATCATTATCATTACCCCAGTGCTGCAAAGGCTCCCACCTACGGTGCGGTAAGGGGAGAGGTCGGATGTACGCAGTCTTACCCCTGTACTAAAGCACACAAAGACTGTTTCCGGATGACCCATAGTGAAAATCGCGTCAAAAATTGCATGGACTGACTGTTGCTTCATAACAAAGAAGCGCAGACAATTTAGTGAGTCCACTTGCTTTATTCCATCATATTCCCAAGCCAAAAAATAACGAGTCTTTGGCTCCATTGCAAATGATGGAAAACAATACAAATCATGCTATTACAAATAATTCTATCATTGATACTACCTGCAATACAGAAAAGTGGGTGATAAATGGAGAAGTTTGCATAAGGTTTGTTGCATACAATGAGTTGAGTAACTTGAGTAACATCAAATCGGAATCCAGAACATTGATAGTCTCAGAAATGAGAGTACTTGAGGAGTCTCATGAAAACAAGGAAACATTTGTAGTTATTGAGTGCTTGACGGCTATTGCAACAAATGAAACTGCAAGAGACATATCTTCTGCAGCAGCACCATTTGTGATTTTGAAGGAACAAGTACTGAAGGATCTGGTTCAGCAAGCAGTGAGGTATTGGGAAGGAAGAGGCGCAAGGATGATGAAGAAGCTGTTGGTTAGGGCTGTTTCCTATCACCCACCTTGAGGACAAGGTGGTTGTTTAGGGGGGGAGTATTGATAGGAATCTGGCTTAGTAGGCTAATAATAAGAAATAATAATAATAGTAAATGTATATGTAGTAGAATAAATAGAAGAGGAGGGGAGGAAAATAGGCAGGCTGTTATTGAATTAGAAAATAGATCTTTGGAGAGCTCTGGCACTCTAGAATTTTGCCCAGAACTATTACTGTACATTTCCTTCTGTTAATAAACATTCAGTTTTCTTGATTAACAAGACAATCAAGAATGGAACAGATCAATCAAGAAAACTGAATGTTTATTAACATTAGGAAATGTACAGTAATAGTTCTGGGCAAATTCGAGAGTGCCAGAGCTCTCCAAAGATCTATTTCTAATTCAATAACAGCCTGCCTATTTTCCTCCCCTCCTCTTCTATTTATACTACTACATATACACTTAATATTATTATTTTTTTTATTATTAGCCTACTAAGCCAGATTCCTATCAATTTTTTGTGTTTATGGACGAAGGGGCAGAAAAGTCAGAAAACGGCTATGAATGGGTCAAAGAAGAATATTTGATTAATCTAATGCACTCTAAAACAAAGTTGCTAGTGGAGCCATTCTAAGAGCGTACGCGGATACACTTTAATTGCCACATATATGTATATATATGAAATTTGAACTATTTCCAATCCATCATTTAAGTCCATATACTACAAAAAGTATCAGATAAATACGTTTACTTTAAAACGCAGTCAATCAAGACATTTTGACCTACTATAATGGCCTATTTTAAAAAATCAATTAAAACATTTGATAAATCTTATAAAGATTCATATAAATTTGAAAAATAGTATAAATTCAAACAGTGATAAATAATTATAAAACGTTAAAATGAAGAATTAAAAAATGAAAAAAATAAAGTGAAAGTGTAAAAATATAAATTTTAAATGGAATAACTTTTAAAAAGATGTAGAATATACAAATAATTTCAAAAATACAGAAACATAGAATTTGACATTTTAAATTGTCCACAGTTCTAATTTAATTTCAAAAAGATGTAGAATATACAAATAATTCCAAAAATACAGAAATATAGATTTTTTTTCAAAGTTTAACTAATTTTTTGAAAAATTTCACTTAAAAGGCCAGATTGATCGACTCTTTAAAGTAAGCGTACTTATATGGTGCTTTTTTTAGTTTATGGGCTTAAGTGATAGATTTGAAATAATTGAAGGATGTATTTGAGCCTTTTCCCTTCTTTTATTTTCCTTAGTGCTATGAAAAATGCTCTCCTTTTGCGAAGTGCTTATGATTGCCTTTGCCAAATAAAAAAACAGTACAAGTTTATTAATCAAAACCACAACAAAAACATTACCTCAGTGCCACAAAGGCTTCTCACCTACGGTGGGATAAGAGGGGTCTGATGCACGCAGTCTTACCATTGTACTAAAACACATATAGCCTGTTTCCAGATGACCCGTGATAAAGATCGCGTCGAAAATTGCATGGACCGACTGACACTTCATAAAAAAAGTGGAGACAGTTCAGTGAACCATTTTACTTTATTCCATCATATTCCCAAGCCAAAAAATAGTGAGTCTTTGGCTTCTTTGGAAATGATGGATATACAAGCTTATTAATTACTGAGTTGAATTTCTCTTTCGTCAATTCTTACCTTTCTGCATTACCGTTTGCAAGGGATCCATATTCAGCGGTTGTCAACATAGAAGAATTGAAATCTACTCTTGGTTCACATGGTGAGTTTTATTATCTGCTCTAGAGTTGGTTCATAATGATGTGTTTTTCATTGTTTATAAGATCAGGCAACTGACGATATTCCAGGAATTGTCTTTTTTTTTTGTGTAAAAACCAAAAGAGTTCTGAAAGCCAATAGATTGTCCTTTATCATGCCAACACTTATTTTCTTGGCTTGGTCAATTTTAAGAATGTCCATCATCTTTGTTTGGCACCGTTATCATAGATCGATTCATGTTAGCCGACCCCAAATTCTTTTGGGATTAAGGCTTGGATGTTGTTGTTGTGGTCAATTTTAAGAATCTTACGTGTAAGATGTTCTAATTGTGTCCTTTAGTGGTAAGCGGGTAACGAAGTTGTGTTTAGAGGCTGTAGACACTCCCTCTACAACTCATACATAGTACATGTCAGTTTGAGAAGCAAAGAGAAAGTGACTGGTTAAATCAGATTTATAATGTGCAGGAGGCTTATCAGCTACCCTTGAGAAGAATAAGACTTGTGGAAATGATGAAGCAGTGCATGAAAAGCCTGTTGTCGCAGATTCTGGACAATGTCAAGAAGATTTTAATGCTGCTGCACCTTCAATAAACTTGAGATCTGGAGATCAAATGTCGACTCACACGGTGAAAACATTAAAGGATGCTATAAAGCCTAAGCACCGACGTAAAAAGAAGGCCACCACAAAAGCTGCTGCTGATGAAATTCAGAGGACATAAGCCAGAGTTATCTTTTCAAAATGATATAGTAGCAGTGTAGGTAAAGTTGAACTTACCTCGTATATCTTTACATAAATTTCCCACACTTGAACAAGTTGCTCCAAAGTTTCTTTTTCCCTCTTTGTGTTTGTTAGTAGGTTTTGGCCTTCTCAGGTTATTTCTCTTAATGATGATGTTCCTTATGCTTCCCTTTTTTGTATGCAGAATGTTCTGCTGGATGTAGTTTCAATTATGTGCTTCTATCTCGCCTACAGTTTGGTTATTATTATGTCTGGAACCAATTCTTAAAACTGATTATGCTCTCTCAAGGAGCACTTGGAAGCTAGAAGTAGAATGATTTTGATGGGTGTCTGGATATAAACTTAAGAAACATTATTGAAGCTTAAAATATCAATTTTGAGGAAGCTAGAGGTACTTGGGATGTTTTTAATTTTTACTTGGATTGTAATTTGCTGGTCTGGTTTGGTCTGTTTAAGTCTGGTCGGGTGTGAACTGGTTTGGTCTGTTTAAGTCTGGTCTGGTCTGGGACTGAAAACAGTCCAAGTAAAAACATCGTTACTGAGTTACTGTATTGCTCTTGGGGAATTGATTTTGATTCTGAACTTTTCACTCATTAAATGCCTTCCATTGTTTCATCCATTTCTGGATAACTAATTCTAATTCTCACTCAGCTTCTTATAAAGAACCAGGAGTCATTCCCATATTTTGACTATAATGATGAGAGGGAAGCAAGACCTGTGGTCTGTGGATGACTTACAGAGTTACAGTACAACCAACTCTCATATAAAGATCATCTTTGACGCCAGAAAATATCCTTTGGATGACAGAGTTTGCCATCTTTGACATAAATATTGTTATTACTGCGTATTCCCTTGTTAGTTTACATGACAATTAATATGGCTATAGAAAATAGAAAGGCAATTTGTTCCTAACATTTCACGGTCAGGACCCAGGCATCATGGTTTTGCATTTTCCTGACAGACTACTAACTACTGTTCTTTGTAGGATTTTCTGGTTTAATCTTTTTTTCAAGTTTACTGTAGTCTAGTTTGGTTTGGTTTGACATTATGTAATTTTGTTCTTATAGATATATACATTAATATTAGTGTAATACATATGCCTATTCTGCTATTCTATCATAGTTCTAAAAAAATATGCTTTCTTCTTTTAACTTTTAAGCAATGCTCTTTATTTTAGAATGAAACTAAAAGTATTTAAAAATAAAAATCTTATAAAAATTAATGTAAAGAAAACAATTTTTTTCATATTTTATTAACTATGAATAATATTTCACATAGTAATTATTGGATAATAATTAGAAAAATAACAAAAATAAGACTTCTATCTTTTAATGAGACAAAAATAGGACGTTTTCTATTTTGGATAAGAATGACAAATAAGATGAAAATGTCCCAAATAGCCCCTTGATTAAATCCTGAAATGCAGCCTTCACCAGCATTCTTGTCGAACAAATTTGTGTACTTTCTTCATCGAGCATCACTCGACGGTTGATGCCTCGATTGCATTGATGGTGAAGGTAATTAAATTACACCAATGGTGATACAACCTCAATGTCATCCGGTCAGTTTCTCTCTTCTCCGACTAAGAGTCTGAGACCAACAACTCAACAAGCATTAACTTTTTCTTCTCTTTCATTGAATTGCTCCTTCCTCCTTTTTTCTCCCCAATCAACGCTCCTCATCTTCAGAATATCGATTGTTACCACTCGGGTACATTGAGATCTGAATTAGTGGTGCTTTATTCTAGGGTTTTGAGTGCATCTCCGATGCTCTGTAGGATTCCAGGCCATGAGAGCCAGATTTGTAGAGAGGGTTTCGTTCGGTGAGGTCATTGGTGATGGTCCGGCTGCGGCCAATGACCTCTTTGACCGCGGGCTCGACTACGGTTTGGTTGTGCATGGTAGATTCTTAGGATAGGTGGCGTGCGATAGGGAGCCTTGAGAGGTGGATGGGCCTTTGGGTTGGGGGCAGGGGTGGCGCCGTGGCGGTCATCGAAAGGGGCAGCAACGGGGTCACTGAATGGAGCGGGCGGTGATCACTGAGGTGGTTGTAACTGTGACAGGTTGGCGGTGGTCATGATTGCTGGTGGTCATTGGCGGCGACGATCATTGTTCCGATGGTCATTGTCTCCGGTGAGGGGCATAAAAATCCTGGAAGTCGCTTTGGAAAATTCTAAAAGTAGTCTTTTGTTCAAAATTTTTCTTTTAGTAATATTGTTGATGTCAAAATCACAAATAATTAAACTACTACGTATATATCAACACATGTGAACATATTAGATTGAAGAACTACAGGAATGCACATGAACGAAGTACGAACCATATGATGTTGGGTCAACTTATGGGTCCGTTTGGGACCCCTATTTCAATCTTATCAACTTTATGCAACTATAGTTGCATATTTGCACTTGTGAAAGTAGTGATATTAATTATTCTTATTTTAAATAATAATAATAAATAATAATAACATTATTGTTTTAGTATTTGTTCTAGTAATAAGAAAAATTTAAATATACTGTTTGCTCATTTTTCGATCTGGCCTATTTGCAGATTTTTTTAAACATTTTTTATATCTAATTTAGTCTAGTACTGACTCCAACTAAGTTAAGTCCTTCAAAACAGGGCCTAATGTACAATTAACTATCTAATGCACTCCTGTAGTATTATCAAATGGGCCACCATCAATCCATTATAAGAGTAAATTGGGCGTGAAATGTTGTTCTAGTCCCTTTGTGCCTTAACAATAAGAAATAAATACACAACTTTGGAGGAGCTTTTTAAAGGATATGACTTTTTTCACTACTTTATTAGAGGGGGATCCAAATACCAGCCAAGATAGGGCAAATGATTACCGGATTTTCTAACCAAGAACCTTATTATCAGTGGCGATTGGCGGAGCAGGCAATTTAGGTCTTGACTCACTCCAAATTTAAAAAATGCCTTAATTTTTAATGTAAAACAAATTTGTAATTTTGTATAATTTTTTTCTGAAAATATTCTTCATGCTGGCTTAGTCCGGTCCAAAGCCCTCACTCCTCCCATCATGTTATAACAGTAATATGCGTTTTTCTTCATCCGAGCTACCTGGTTCCACTGATTCTTCTTCGTTTAAGCTTGATTGTTAGCTGGTTTACACTCCTACTCCCTTAGGTTTGTAAAACTTCTACCTTCCGAGCTTCTTCGTGGGTTTTTTTGGGGCTTTTTCACCATTTTTGAGCTCGGAGTTCACTGTTCACGAGAAGAGGTCACCAAGAATTTCCATCATCAAGGTTGTATCTTTTTCGTCCGTACTCTTCTTCCCCAACGAGTTTTTTGGGTGAATAGTACACTTTCCGCTTTTGTTGAGCTCGGTTTTCATGACTTAAGGGGTGGTTCTTTCCTGGCTTCCCCGAGTGTTTCACGATGCCAAAGGGGAAATCGAAGCCAAAGAAGAAGACCCCAAAGGCCCCTACCAAGTCTTCCACACGGCTTAAGGAGAAACAAGCAAAGGAGGTGGAGGATGTGGTCTCGGATTCTACTCAAAGTGAGGATAACTCTATCAATGGTACTCCCCCCTCCTCGGCTCACCCCCTTCTTGGGGAGGTAAATTCTATCCCTCTTGATATTGTTGCTCCTCCTATTGAGGATATGTGTGATGAACCCCTTCTTGATGAGGTTCATATTGCCGATGAATATGAGGTTGATGAAACCGTCATTGCTATACTCCATGAAAATGTTTCTTCGGATAAAGCTAATGTTTTGAGTGATGATGCTAGTGTTATTGTTGCTTTTGCCTCTAAGGTTGTTGGAGATGATATCTCCCATGAAACTTTGGTTGGTGATACTCTAAGTATCATTCCTCTTGATGACACCAATTTGGTGAAAGATCATACTATGAATGGTGATACTAATGGCTCAATTGCTACGGGTTGCACCCCTATTGATAAGGGGGATATTACTACTAATATCCCTCCTAGCTCTACCATGCCTAAGGCTGCCTTGGCCTCTATGCCCCAACCCGTGGGCAATAAGGGTGGTAAATCCACCCCTTCTCTTCCTTGGACATCTCTCTTTAAGGACAATAGAGAGCCCGAGAAGGGAATGAAACTTAAATACATTGAACCGGTGGGGGACTTTGTTGACTTGTCCAATAGGAAAATGGCATCTATGATTGAGATTTGGGGCTTTTGCCTTGTTGCTTACTTTGATGGGAAATTTCCCGGTTTCAAAGCTATACATGAAATGATGATCAAATGGCATGTTCCATGCCAAGTTAGATCCCATGACAAAGGTTGGGTCATATTCAAGTTCAAGAATGATGATGATAGGACTAAAGTCCTCACGGGTGGGCCCCATACTATCCTTGGAAAGTCTTTCCCCTTGAAACCTCTTTCGGATGACTTTTCCATGGATAGTGATGAGTTTTTGAAGCTGCCCATTTGGGTCCAATTCCCTCACCTTCCTATGAGGTTATGGGAAGAGGATATCATAAGCGAAATTGCTTCTAGAATGGGAGTGCCTATTGCCACGAATAGGGTTACTCAAGAGAAAGTGAGATCTCATTTTGCTAGAGTCTTGATTGAAATTGATGCCTCTAAGGCACCTCCACTCCAATTTAAGATAAAGCTTCCTAATGGAAGGCTCCACACTCAATATGTTAGGTATGAAACATATCCTAACTATTGTTTCCATTGCAAAACTTTCGGTCACCATGCCTTTACATGTAAGGTTTTGGCCGAAAATAAAAGAAAGGAAAGAGAGGCACTTGGGGTTAATGAGAACCCTAATGATGCTAACAAAAATGAGAACAATGTTGACAATACTCTTCCAAAACAAAGAGAAGGGAAAGAGCATGTTACCTCGGAAAATCACCAAATGGAGGCCAATAGGGCCAAAAAAGTTGATCACCCCTTTTTTAGGGTGAATAGACTTAGGAAAGGAGCTAATAGGTACACGGTTGAGGATGAGGATAATATTATTGATACTACTCCTACTGATGTTGGAAGTAGTGAGGCTGCCGCCACACACCAAACTGTCCGTGTGGTTAAAACCACGCTCCTACACACCTTTAATGATGAGGTTGTGGTTGACATGGTTCCCGAGGAACTTCCTTCCCCCATTATTAAGGTTAAACATCATAGTGAGGTTGATGATCCTACCATTAAATTGAATGAAAACCTTCGTGTGGTTGGGGAGGATACTCCCGGAATTTGCTTCACCAAAACTTGTTTGGAAGGGTTGCCGGGAGTCAAGCCTATTAAGGATGACTACGTTTACTCCTCTACCTTTTTGAAAGGTGTTTATAGGCACTATCTTAACCATTATTATGAAGAAGGTTGCTTACAAGGGAACTCTTTTAAGCTTAAAGATCAAAGAAAACATTCTCCCAATAGCATCCGTTTGGTACATGACATCCGAGAGGCATACCTTGATGATGTTATTAGCAAAGTTGACCTTCATAAGGATGTGGACCCGGATATCTACCTTAAGCATCTCGGTGATGTTAAGGGAGATATTAGGAGACTTGGCAACTACTTGGAGCCTACTACTAATAGTATGAACATGGGCATTACTTTCACTTTGGAATGCCTTGACTCTTTGCCCGGTTTACATTGTTTGGAAGGGGAGTACTTTGTCTCCCTCTTTTTATGGAACGTGTCTATGTCCTATTTTTGGAGAGATACAAACCAAGGCCTAAACCTAGGTCACTTCAAAAGAAGATGTTGGTGAAAGGTGCTAAAGAGGGGGAAAGGAGGAAAAACTAACTTTTTTATGTTAGTGTCTTCTTGGAATATTAGAGGCCTTAACAAGGCCTCAAAACATAATACCGTTATCTCCTTTTTGCGTACTAATAATGTACAGGTCTGCTGCCTTCTTGAAACCAAACTCTCTACCCCTAATTTTGATAAGTTCTTGTCCAATAGACTGCCCAATTGGCACTCTATTACAAACTTTGACAAAATTGATGGTGGTAGAATGGCCCTTATGTGAGATCCTAATTTTGTGAAGCTTACTACTTTGGAAATTGACAACCAGCATATTCATTGTAATATCAAGTGTTTGACTACTCACAATACTTTTCTTGTGACTTTTGTCTATGCCCTTTATACGGTGGTGGATAGAAGAAATCT